CTACAGCATGGCCCGCCCGTATGAGGAGTGGTTAATGTATCATTCGCCTCTGACTGAGCAGCAGGATGGCTACCGTCAAGCGCTTGGTCATGCCATGCATCGTACGAAGCAGGCGAGAACTTGGTCGAGTGAGCTTAGTTCAGCCTGGAGACGCTGGGAATTGTGGTATGACGAGTCGAATCTACCATTCTTTACGCCACTGGTGGACGGTGAAGACGGGAAGAAAGTGCTTGGAGAGGACTATCAGGTCTTGTTGAAGCGGGTGTTACCGTTGAAGAAGAGCCGTGATGCCTTTAAGAGGAAGATCTTATATGGATTCGCTCTGGCATAGTCGGTGTTCTACACGAAGAAGCGTCTACGGGCTAGGGGTGAACTACAGATAGCAGAAGATGGATCTGAGCTGCCGTCGCGACTTTAGCTATAGTGCTTGCTTTGTTTTGAAATCCTCAGACCGTTGAGATGAGGGATGAAGAACTCCATCCTCCACGAGGGGGTGGAGATGTAAGCATCTCTTGTGTATAGTGTATATAGTGTAGATAGGACTACCCACAGACTGGCTATGATGGTCGCATAAGGAGTTATGTTAACTATCCTAGCGGGAGGTTGTGATTGACTGTCTGTGGAACCCTCTAGGGATATTATTAGCCTGTGGGTATAATCCCAGAGATGTCACTGGTTGGTTAGGTGGCTAGCCTAGGCCTGGGTCCCGAATACCCTAAGCCTGGGATCTGCGGAAGGGACAGGTTTAGGGTTATCTATAAGCAGAGGCTGGGAAGAGTCCAGACCTAGGGTTACTCATATAGTGGGGGCCTGAGAATCTAAGATTTGAGAGACTCTGGTTTTGAAAGCTCAGTGATGAGTCATCATCAAATATTGTGTAGTCCGGTTGTAGGGCAGGACTACATTGGTTGGTTGTAATTGATAATATTACTAACAAAATATTTGATCATATAGATAGAGTGTGTGGTTTTATGTTGACAGGAGAACTATCACACGCTACAACACCACTAAACTAATAACCTAGTGAATAAACCTGTAATTTGTGCTAGTCTTACTATTGTCTAGAATCACTCACAATAGTGTAT